TATGAAAATATTCTCAACAAACAGTACACGAGCTTTAAAACAAACCCTCACTGACCTATGTAGCTACTGTAACTGTGGAGCAATTACTGCTCAAAGTTCACAGCAGAAGTACCAAAGTTATTAAAGTTTTTTTCTTAGCAGCTCATCTCAGCCTGCTTCCCCCTCCCAGTAGTGACTCAGCAGCTCAACTACCCCTCAGCAGCCTTCTAACTTTTAACCCCATAAGGACCCTTTGGCTGCCAAGGCCTTTCGTTTTAGTTTTTTGCACACGTTATAATCCACATTTAAGGCCTGAAAATTACTTCAAACCCCCAAGCATTATATATTTTCTGAAAGCCAAGACGAAATTAGCGCAACTCTTTATTAAACCCAAAAATGTAGTAACAAATACACTTAAGTTACATTTAGTGCCCCAAAACACAATATAATACCCATTGTTTTGTAAAATATAAAAGATGAGGTTACGGCAAGTAAATAGATTCCCAATATGCCCAGAGTAAAAAATTGTGTGCATCTGTGAAACGACGACAAAATTCAGTACCCCAAAAAGTCCACAGACAACCATTTAAAAGCCCCTATAGGTCATCACTGTACGTCACATCACATCACTGTACCTATTTTCATCAGGTACGTGAAAATATTGGCCCTAGCATTATTGCTCTCACTTTGGCGCAAACGACGATACCCAACATGTGTAGCATGTTCGTCGTTTTTGTACGTAGGCGCATCCGACGTGTGTTTACGTAAATACACGCGCACTCGCGGGGGACTTTAAAAAAAACGTTATTATTTTTTACATTTATTTTATTTCATATTATTTTTTAAAACTGTTTTTCTTTTTTTTACTTTACTTTAATTGCTATCACATAAGGGGGATTACACGACCACAATATGGTAGTATATTGGTGATGACAGGTCCTCTCTATGGTGATACTGGGGGTCCAAAAGACCCCTAGTGTCACCTTTACACTCCAAATAAGCTTTTGGAGTGCAGATCTCACTTCAATAGCTTATTGCTGGGCTTCAGGAGCCGAGCAATGACAGCTCAGGGACTGGAAGTGATGTAATGTGTATCGCTCCCAGTCCCATAGAGCAGGGAGGAGATCGGTGAATGAAAGTTTGACGCTCCCCTCCCCAGGTTCCCGCCTACACCGGACATGCTGGTCCCGAGCCCGCAGGACAGCCGGCTTTACAATTGTAAACAGAGTCCCGGGAGACTATGTATGTCACTGGTCACGATGTAGGGGGAAGGAGGGGAAGCTGAGCTGTGAAAGCCGACTTCAGCGTTCCTGCTGTAAACTTTGATAAATTTCGCCACAGTGACTACAACTACAGAGATCAGGAAGGGCTTGTTTTAGAGCCCCTTCGGCTTGTTAAGACTAACTTGAATGTCTCCTTACTCCTCCTATCCCCTTACTAACATGTATTTATTTCCTATGATCCTCAGCACAATCTAGTGGCCATAATGCGCTTTTCCTCCATTCACTCTATTCTGCATGAAAATACCTATATAAGAGCATTCGATCTTACATCGAGATGCCCCATTTTCATGACAGCTGGTTAACTCGCACAGAAGGAATGTACATGTAGTTTCGCCCGATGAATAAGCTATGCACATTTTCATGAATTGACTCCTAAGTATCAAAATTCTTCTTCCGGAAATAAGTGGGATCATGACAGGGAGAAAAGATACAAATAGGCTGCAATTGTAATTAGAAGTTACATTAGAATGATGAATTGTAATTCAAGGTTCTTTGTCATACAAAGTATCAGAAGTGATAGGAACACCATGAAAACCACGTCAGAAAATCTTGAAATGGCCAGCACAGTTCATATCTTGTGAGGTTACCATTCAGAAGTCTGCATACACTGTAAATGCTGCTTGTACAGACCTCCTTAATGGTGACTTTATAGACTGTGTTACTATGGTACTCTCCTCCCGCTCTCTGGAATTTCAGCACAGCGGGTTACTCTTAGTGCAGCCACAACACACACCAGCAGGAAGCAGGGAGGTGATCACAAGAGCTGGAATCTCTTCCTCTGTGCAGAATCAGCTTTAAAATTGTAAGTCTATCAATTTCTGGTAAACGCTCAAAAAGATGCTTAAAACCCATTTCCTGGTGCAGTGTTTATATCTTTAAGAAGAACTCTGAGAAGAATTATTTTTAGCTCTTTGCAGTGAGGCTATCCCGCACTGGAAGGGTTAAGTGCTCATTTTTGTCTAGGGAGGAAAATAAAAAAAAGTTATATTCATCTGAACCTCGCAGCTGGCTGGCTGTTAAGGTTCAGGTGAGTACAACTTTTTTATTTTCATCCCTAGACGAAAACGAGCACTTAAAAGAGAACTATGGGGTAAGTGTTTTTCCCCATAGTTCTCTTTAGGGTCACGGGAGGACATATACTAACCTCCTCCCGTGACCCAAAGCTCAGTACCCGGGATATACTGAGAGTGCCGCTGCCGGGACATGTGTGAGTGACAGCTGGCTCTGCCTATCTAGAGGCAGCTGTGCCCGCCCTTCCCCCCATCCGTTCCTCCACTGACAGTCACCGCTCACTGCAGGGAGACGATCGGGAAGTGAGCGGATCGACGGCATGTTTCTGCTCACTTCCCGATCAGTAGAGCCGACCCATGACAGCTTCTTTGTCACAGGTCGGCTATATCTATATAATCAGTCACCTCATAGATCTCCTTTAACCTTTGTAGTGCGGGGGTAAAGCCACTGCAAGGGTTAAGAATAATTCTGCCCGGTGCTTTTAATAATAAGGCCAGCCTTTGCTAAAATAGAAAAGTATATATCTCCTTCACCACTAGATGTCGTTCCTCTTACAGCTTAAAATGGATCTATACTTCCCTCTTACACAACACCCCTCCTACCCTATACCCGTCCCTTTCTTTCTAATGCCCCATTTCCTTTTTTCTTTTCCTCTTTGTCCCCTCTCATCTTCCCTTTTTTAACCCCTAGACAACCTAAGCTGGCCATACACTGGTTGAATTTCAGCTGCTGCTGACTCAGCTCACATTCCTCCAGGGTGTGGATCCACGGGGCTGCACTCTCTCCACCTCCCCTTGAGACAAAGGCCAATTTTTCAATTGACTTTTGTCAAAGGAGCCAGTAGGAAACATCTCAGCCAAACAGTGACTGCAAGCCAATCAGCTGCAGTCACTGTTGAGGTATTCTGACAGCGGCACACCTGCCTGGCAGAGGGGATTACTCCATACATGCCATTCGTGTGGATAGGGGGATCAAGAGTTTTTTTTCTTATTCAGCCCCATGGGGCTGAACGAAGGAAAACTAAAGCTGGCCATACACCACTAGAATTCGTTTTCGGAATGTTCCCTCGACTTTCTAATCATTAAAGAGGAACTTTACCCATATCTTCAAAATAACAACAGAGGCACCTTTAGAAATGTTTAGTAATGTCAATCTACAAACACATACTTCTAGATAATTGCCAAATTTTTATTCTTTGCATACCTTATTTCTCTTTTCCTCCCCAGTCTTCTGACAGCGGACATTAAGGGCAGATGAATCCATCTCCCCTTACTTCCTGGAAGTGACTAGGACATGTGACCATGCAGATCATCTCAGGGGAGGAAAATGGCTTTCCCTGAGATTACAGATGAGATTTCCCTGCAATACTCTCCTGATGTAACTTTCCCAGGATGCAATGCTTGGGCATCACTTTTGCCAAAAGGGACCAGGAAGTGGAAAAACAGAAATTGTAAGTAAAAGTAAAATATGTTTGTTTATCTAATGAATCTAAGATGATTTCATATCAGCATGCAGAGCTGTATGCTGATGTGATTTTTAGCCAAAGGGGGTAAAGGTCCGCTTTAATGGGGTCAAGGAAAAAAATCGAAGGAGCAGGATATATATACTGCAGGTTAACCACTAGGGAGTAAAAGCTCAATTTCCAATCACCTTCCACCCTTCTTAACCTGTTCCTGCCATTGTAATAGATATATGCGGCAGCATGTGGGTGAGCCTTAATTCCGAGTCACCACATACATGCTTCAACTAGCTTTACTCTCCTGCGCTGAGAGTGTGCTCACTGGCACACTCCCAGCACAGAGACCAAGATCTCGCTTGCGCCCACCGTTTACAATCAGGAGCCGGTGGGATGGGTTACTGACCATGTGACATGTCAGGAAGCCCGCCTCTGACTCCTGGCATTAAGGACCCCTTAAAGGGCTTCTGAGCATTGGAGGCAAGGTGTTCACAACTGTCAAAATAAGATTTCAGCCACACAGGGAGCGCATTGTTTTCAATTACCTAAATGACACAAGGCATCAAGGCATTACAAAGAGGAGTAGTAAAGCATAACCAGTGGGGAGCACTACAGAGCAGGAAGTAGAGATGTGTTTGTTCTAACCAAATATGAATGCCCCATCTATATAGTATATATAATTACCAACTACACATGCACACAAGGTTATTAAAACAATAGGACACATCGAGAAGATTATATACAGCTGTCTAATCTCGTTCAAGCATATATAAAGAAATTGGAAAGTCTATACACTTCCTATAAGGGTATTTCCATGTTTTATTGAAGGAGATATGTATACTGCTCACTACAAGCTTCAATGAAAAATTCCCAGGGGCCACATTGGCAAATCAGAAAAGAAAATTCATCACCGCACTCTAGCAGTAAAAAAGGCTTCAAAGCAAGCCCACACTGACCTCTCTAGCAGCTTGTACTGTGAAGTAATTCATTCTCAGTTTAAAGCAAAGACTATTAAGTTTATTTCAGTCCATTTCTAACAGCGTAGAAACACCCGCTGTGTGTGTTTGCATTAGAAGGCCAGCAGGTCGCCAAGATCTGTTCTCATAAAAAAAGCTAAAATTTCAATATCTCTGTTTTAAACTTTGAAAATGAATCTCTCCACAATGCCTATAACTACAAAGGTCAACAGGAGCTTGTTTTCAAGTGTATAAAGTCTGAGCATAGGTTAATTTGAGGGATGAAACATGTCATCTGTCACTGATTTCTCTCACCTAAGACGTTTAACGTGATGATGATTTCATGGAAGTTTTTGTTGTCTCGAGGAGCGCTGACTTCACACCGATATTTCCCAGAGTCTCCTCTTGTCAGGTTTTTAATCCTGATACTGGAGCTCATCATCTCTGCTCGTGTCTGTAAGTCACCTTCCAAGAGAATGAGGACAATACTTAGGGTTATAACAACAGGACCTCATAGAAAGTTTGGAGTCTGACTCATATATACATGTTACAGGCTATTTACATATACTGTACATACAGATGAAGAATGGAGTGCTGCAACACCTGCATTGTTTTTTGCTATATACTGGAGAATTGTGAACTGGTTCTTGGTGTCAGCACCCACGATAAAATATATGGAGTGCGGTACATCCATTTGATTGTGTATGTGTATATGTATGTACTGTATATATTTACATACAGAACTGCAGCCAAAAACAACAGGATAAAGATGAGCAGCCCATTAAAAGAAGGGCAGTGCAAGGGGGATGCTGATAGGTGGAGAGAGCAGAGCAACAAAGAGATGAGTTACTCAGTCTGTGCTTCTCCTTTCAATGCACAATTAAAGGCTGGGGGTGGGGAGCAGACCTTTTAATGTTAATGAACTTCAGCAAAGACGAATCAGGTTTTGTGTCCTGCCAGACAGGGCTGTGGTATGTGGCAAAGCTGTATAAATCTCAGGACTGAACGGACAGAAATGAAAATCTTTTGGCACGTTAACCAGTTCTCATATACTGTATGTACTCCATTGTATATTGAGCTGTTTGAGCTTCAAAGTATCAATCTGTGCATGTTTTGGTGGGTGAAGAGGATTTTTCCAAGATAAAACAAAACTTTTGTGTAAAAGTAAACTTATCCTTTAATTAGTGATTTTTTAATAGGTTTTATTTTTTTTAATGTTTTTTTTGAGAGGGAGAGAGTGTTTCCTAAAATAACGGTAACAAAAGAGATTTATCAAATACACAACCAGGAATGAAAAATGAAAATGTACAACTAGGCATGAAAATGTACTTGTGTACAAGTGACTGAAATTTGCACACCAAAATTAAAAAATTCCTGGTGCTGGTCCTTTGGTAGCCAAAACAAAAATGCCAGTTTTAAGAAGACAATACGTGACGTACCAATAGCCTCAACATGCTACGTCAGCAGAACGAAGCTTACAGTGGGATGGCAGAGGTGCACAATGCAATATACTGCCATACACTTTTTTTTCATACAATGGGAAGGCGTTCTGGCTACTAGTGTATGAGGAAGCTAAACCTTACCTGATAAAGCATTTTTAAAATAAACAAAGGAGACTTCTCCATTGGGACCCATTTTTTTCCACTCGAGCCTAACATCCTGATCCTTTTCCAGTTTATATCTACAGCTGAGAATTGCCTCTGTAAAAAAAATAATTATAATAATTATTATTTTTAGCTAATAAAAATCTAGTTACTAGGCAATAATACAACCAAAGAGAAAGACAGTGGGGTTTGGTGTGAGTCGCCCGAGTTGGAAACACTGCTAAGAGATAACATTTATCATTTAATGTTTGATTTACACACTTGTTAAAATTAATCTCGGCTAAAAAACATGGAAAATGAAAAGTGTCCTATAGGCAGGCAATAGAGTCCCACATAAGTCAGCAACAACCACCCTCTACAACTGAATGTGTATAAAAGTCCAAACCGCTGGAAGATATGCATACATTTCAATGGGATGGAATTTTGGAATGCTGACGAATGGCTTTGCCTTGATCCATTCCACCTTTACTGGTTTCCTCAGGAGAGGGACTTAATGCCTAAAGGTGGAACAGCTAAAAACCATACAAGATTTTTGAAATAGCATCTACGACAGCAGAGTACAACACATCAAAACATCATGCTGAAAAAAAGCAGCCCATCAATACCTCTGCCTCACATAAAACGCGCCTTTCTTTTTCCAGAGACGGAAATACTTTATTGTAAAATCTCTTACAGCAATGTAAGTCGCCCCCCTGGTTCGGCTCTTTAGATACACTAACTGGTATTTAAAAGCAGATGTTTCGAATACACTGGGGAGTCTGCGCCTAGATTCGGATTAGGTTATTTTTTTTTTCCCTGCCTGATATTCTGCCCAGACTTCGCACATTGCCGATTCCTGACCTCTACGTTGCCTGTCCGTGCTATGCAGTAGCTTATTTGGAGAGATGGCGCCACTTATTACTTGTCACAACTTACATATATGCTGTTTGCTATACTGGGATATGCACCTTGTGTGTAACCTGCTAATGATATACTGTATTTGCTGGCGTATAAGACTACTTTTTTATACTTAAAAACATCCCCCGAAAATCGGGGGTCGTCTTATACGCCGGGTATACATTTAGTTTGTTTGGGCTAAGCTGGCCCAAAACAAACATCCCTAATCTGTCAGCCCGCTGCATGTGCGGTAATACTGTATGTACGGTAGCTTCGGCTACATACAGTATACCGCGCTAAGCCAATCACGGCGAGTGATGTACACAACCTCTGCCAATCCAAGCAAGCTTTGCATTCATTAATAGAATACATTGCTCGCCGTAATTGGCTCAGCACGGTATACTGTATGTAGCTGAAGCTACTGTACATACAGTATTACCGAACATCCATCCATGATGTTTTCCATGATGTTTTTAAATGGTGTTGCCTCGTAAGTGGGGTAGTCTTATATGACGAGTATTGCCCAAAACCTATGTTTTAAGTGGAAAATTAGGTTTCTTGAAATTAGGGGGTCTTCTTATACAGTCGCCTTATATGCCGGCAAATACGGTATTTGTTTTTCTTTTTGTTCTATATTGGAACATTTAATAATGTGAAAGCACAGAGGAACTGGAAAAGTGGAATAAAAGCACTGAAGCAGCAAGGTTTGTCCTATTGGTGTGGCTGGCCAATGAGGTGATCTATCAGACAGGCAGCTTCTACACCCCAGAGAAACTCCACTGTCTCTTAGGTTTGTAGTTTCAGATTGGAGGATTGAGAATTGAAGCACCAGGTTTACAGTCCAGATACATCTTTATATAATAAAGTGTTGAGGGGACAGTATATAAATAGCTATGACATTTCGGGGGCTCATACAAATACCCCCTTCATCAGGGTAAGGGAGAATATGTATGCGGTTATACATGTCTTTGGCTGCCAAAAACGCTGCTGAGGAGCTTTATGCATTCTCACACACTGGACCAAACGGAATCCAATTTCAAGCCATTATAGTCCTGATACATGTTCTCCATTAGCCTGATGAAGGTGGTATTGTGTATTGGAGTCCCTGAAACGCTTTGGCTATTTCTATACCCTATACTGAATACAGATGTACCTAGACTATTAAACAGAGTGTGGCACTTCAATTGACAATCCTGCAGTTGGACAGGAGGGGAATCCATGTCAGCGAACATGTCAATATCTCAAGCTGGTAAGTTGTATTGTTTTCATGGCCACATGAAGAGGAAGCGGTGGAGCAAAACTGGACCAGAATGTTCCTCTAACAATCACAAATGCTATCAAAGTATGGGCCGCGCAGGAGAGTTGTTGATCCCAGTTCCTGAGATAGTTTACAGTGAGTGCCAGGGTTATCCGGCACAAATATGTGACAAGGCGTCTTTGCAGAGCCACGCTGACCTTGCTGGTAAATCACTGCTGATGCAGAATTATTGTACACGGAGGACAGAACTAAAATAGACTGAAGGTTTCTTGAAGTTTAAAGATGAATTAATAAGTGGAGGGGGGAGCCAGCAGAGATTATTGTTATCAAAAAAAGCTATGGCAAGCTATGCCGGGCTGGCAGCAGAATGAAACACAACAATTAAAGGGGAGTTGTCTAAAGGGAAATCCTGGCTGATTCCATGTTGTATTCAAGTACTACAGAAGCACCAGAACTCGCATATTATTGCATATGTTGTTACCCAAATGAAAGAGTATCTCCAGCCAAAACTCTTTAGTTTTGGATACAGCATGAATGGATGACTTCCTCTGTCAGCTTTTTTAGGGGTTGTTTCTACATTACTTCCTGTGTAGTGACAACACAAAAATCCACCAAGGACAGCAATTAAAAAAACACCTTTTTTTGCAGCAGATTAGGGGAATGCTTGGATTACTATCAACTTTCCCCATTGGAAATGTATCTGTCACTTCGTGTCCTGGTGACATCAATATTGAGAGGAAATCTATTTGACACTTCAGACAGCAATAACAACCTAAGGATCTAAACCTTCCCCCACCATGAAAAGTTTTGGCTGGGGTTACACTTTAAGTTATAAACAGATAAAAGATAAATCACATTCACCCCCTTCCCCTAAAGAAGTGACAATCTCCCAAATAACATTTTGGGTGTTCTGCTGTGACAACACAGCAGAACCACCCAAACTTATAACTTAGTGTTTGGCTTCTCACATTCACTTTTTTTTAAGTCTTCTTATATCTTTTTTATAAATATATATGAGATGCACCGATACCATTATTTCAAGTACAAGTACTGATACTTGTCCAAGTACTCACAGATATAAGTACTGATACATTTTTGTTTATTGTCATGTGACAGTTTTTCTAAAACAATACAGACTAATGATTTCAGGACAGTGGTGGAGCGCCAGAGCCAGGTCCTAGCTGCAACCACTGCAACCCTGGTAGTTCTCATGAAAATGCCAAGTATCGGCACTGGTATCTGAACATCCCTAGTTGATGGCATATGAATTCCGTATTATAATAAGAATAAGAATAATAGGAATAATTGGCCAGAGATGTAGCCAACCATAATGATGGCCTGATAGGAAGTGCATGAGGAGGGAGAGGGTGGGCCAACCTTTGACACTACTAATATGGTAGCTGGGTTTTAGAGGTTCTGCAGAGCTCTTGTAGACGTCTGAAGGCACTTATAGGCCCATGCATATGTTTGTTTCAGTTCTTTCTTTTAATGACAGGTGAACTTTACAACAAGACAAACCCAGACTACAGAGAAAAAAAACAACACCAGCTCTCAAACTCCTCTGATAATCCTTTATTATACGAACATAAAATCCTCACTCAGACTCTGACGCGTTTCTGCCTAAGTGGCCTTAGCATAGCTAGCTATAATTAAGGCCAGTTAGGCAGAAACGCATCAGTGGCTGCGTACGGATTTTATGTTCATATTATAAAGGATAATTGGAGAATTTCAAGTGCTGAAAGTGTTTTTTTTCTCTATAGGACTTCATGCTGGAAGGAGGTTTTTTTCATGCATGGAATAAGACATGCGCAACATTTATTAGGTGTGATCTGTGTATTCTTGTTTATATTTGCTGGATGCCCAGACTATACTTTACTCTGGAGGTCTAAGTAAGAAGATGAGCTAGCTGAATATTTAGCTGCCCTTCAGTTTCGGACACTAAGACAAAACTGAAGTGTACTTCCACTTTTGCAACCAAATTGGGATAACTCCTACTTTATATTTGCTATATGTTCCCAATCACATAGCATAACTTTAAAAAAAAAAAAAGCTATAGTTTACCTTTTTTGTTTAGATGATCTTTGTGCTAATTCCAGGACTGAAAAGTCCTGCTTAGGCTCACTATCTGGGGAGTGGGGAGGAGTTTTGTTTCACATAAGTAGCCCTGTGGCTCTGTGCTGGCAGATTTCATTATCACTTAGATGAGCTGTCTGTCCTAACAAAGAGTTAAATCCCTGAGGACACTGTATGTTAATTAGGGGGGGGGGGGGGGCCGGGGGGGTGCTCAGTCTGTCCTATATCTTTCTATTAGGACAGAGAGTTTTCTGTTACTTAGATTGAGATAGAAGCATGTGAAGATCTGCTAAATAGAGACATCTAAAAGGTAAGATTTTTTAAAAATGATTTTTAACTATGCTGTGTGAATAGGAACACATAACACACATACAGTACAATGGGGTCTTCTCAATTTGTACTGCAAAAGTGGAAATACACTTTAAGTTGTTAAATTTAGAGCTCTAAATGGCTCTGCTATTAGAAATGAGAGTTTCATGTTTAGACCAGAGATCTTCTTAGAAAAAAGGTCTTTGTGAGACCATGAATTCAAAAGAGCATTTGGCCCCGATGCCCTTTAACATGCTGCAGTCCAAAAGCTTACTGCAAACATTGTAAAGTGCTGTTTCGAGGTGGGTTTGTTTTATTACATTGCATCGGTGTAACATTATTTCATGTAAAATCCAGTAAATTCCGGGACTTCTTTAACACTAAGTAATTGAAGCACTTAGCAAATAAGAGTGATTGAAAGTATTGATCGGTGAGTGAATATGCTGGCTTATTAAACTGACGGGTTTTCCAAATGTCAGCGCTGTTTTAGACATACGCGATCGGTCTGCAGTGTTCCTGGAAGCCAGACCTACATGCTGCAAGCCAAATGAAATGGCTGGACAATGTCTGTGGCTGCTGGAAAGCCCAGAAAAGCTCCCGACCATTCATCACAGTGACGGCTCACTAATAAAATATATCCCAGATAATTATTTCTTGGATGAAGACATGAATTAAGCAATGTTTTCAGGCATAGGATTGTCCATAAAATTGTCTGTTCTACATATTCCATTTTATTAATTTTAGCGCATATTCTTTCTGCATTCGTAAAAACGTGAACTATAGAGATATACCGAAACTGAAATGAATCACGTCTTTATTCAGCTCATGTAATATAATAATTCTGCCATTGGGTTCTTATTAATATTAAAAGAGAACTATGCCCCAACCTTTTTTTTTGCCATAGTTCTCTTTAGGGTGACATATACTAATGTCCTCCTGTGACCCAAAACTCAGCATATAGTGGGCTATTGCCTGCTATATGCTGACATTGCAGAGCCGTGCTGCAGCTAGGACGGATCCCGAAAATATTGTCGGGATCCACCCCGCTGCCTGAGTAACAACTGGCTCTGCCTCTCTAGAGCCAGAGCCAGCTGTGCTCGCCTCCTCCCTGTCTTTCCCTCCAGTTAGCACTGGAGAAACAGAAATGGAGGGGGGATTCCTGCAGGGAGCAGTAACTGCCAGTCACCGCTCTCTGCAGGGAGAGGATCAGGAACTGAGCGATTGACGGTATGTTATCGGCCAGTTCCCGATCTATAGAGATGACGTGTGACAGCTTTAGTGTCACACGTCGGCTCTAATTATGGGGATGAGTGTATTTCACTCTCCCCATAATTCTCCTTTGAGGCTGGAGTCACACCTATGCATTTTTCACCCTGATGCGTTTGATGGAAGCGCATCAAAATGCATGTCAACCTGTGTTAAAAAAGTAAAGTTTGAGGTGTTGCAACAAAGCACCACACCTCCCTCTACACAATGCACCCCACGCACATGCGTTATACAGGGCTGGTGTGAACAGGCCCATAAGGGTCTGTAAAATGTGTTCTACAACTTACAATATACACGGGGAAGGGAGAAAAGCATGCACAGCTGATGGGGTTGGCATTTAGGCCCAACTAAATTTTCGATTTAGCTACATACTGTACATAGCCTGAGTAGAAAAGCATTCTATAAAGAAGGAACTTTTGCTTCCTGTGAAGAAGCAGTGGTCCATCAGCAGAGGTCCAACAAGCCCCCTTTGCTGGGTCAGAGATCCAGATCAGCAGGAAAGAATGAACCTAGACCAACAAATAAAAGTACTGTAATTTCCTCCAAGTGTACAAGTACATTTGATTATGACTGTTCATTGAGAATAGGCCTACCAATGGATAGAGAATTTACTGCATTTTATGGTACACATTTACAATACCTCCAAACTCCAGTTCTCTGACATCAAGGTTTTCTGATTCCACGATCACACCAAACGACCGCTGACCTATAAATATATGAAGAGTCATTACTTGGCCAGTAAATTGATAGATTCTCTAGAGTGATACTGCAGGAGCTGATTAGGGTGTATGTATATCTAATCAGGAAAATCTCATACAAACTTTAACATGTAAATGCAGCTTCGAAAATCATCTTTAGCATTTTATGTTGGCGGCTCAAGGAGCGATTACATGTGAACAGCCACGGACAGTGTCAGCCTGTCACTGATTTGTACAGGCTTCTTGTTTGCAGTTGATCATAAACACTTGTCCATACCCGACGCAGTAATACGCTGATCTGGGCACTGTGTGTGATGTGAATGAGGCCTAGGGTGAAAAATTGACTTGGTCTATCTATCCCACCCTCATGATCTGGAAAGGTATTAAGCAACGCTAAACATTCCAAAAGCTGACCCAATCACATACCCATATCTGAGTCACCTCTGTGGCCAGCAGCTAGGCTTAAAGGATGGCCTGTACGAGGTGCTTTATTAATGGGGGTTAATCAGGAGGCAATGAATCACACAGAGTCATGAACCATGAGTCAGAAGTATTTCAATCAAACAACTCACACTTTATGAAATGTACATGGGAAAGATAATTTAGAGTGCCCATCAATTTATCTGCCAAACTGACCTCCTAAACCTAAGTGTGGGGCAGTCAGATTGTCAATAGTCTGCTTGAGGAAGCCATAGACATTAAAGCTGAACTTCGGGGGAAAAACAAAGGTTTACCCTTGCAGTGGGCCTCCTCTGCACTGCAAGGATAAACTGCTCATGTTGCATAGGGGGTGATAAACTAGGTGATACACTTGCCTTATTCCTCACTCCCTTGGATCTCCTCCACTGTCTGATATTCCCCGGCCTTTGGCATCCTCCCATACAATGCATGACTGCCAGTCCTGCATTGTTTAGGATGGTGTCAGAGAGCGGTGACCAGAGGCTTTCATGGAGTGAGGGGGTATTTTCAGGGGGTATAACCATATAACCTTATTTATCATCCCCTTAGCAAAATAAGCAGTTAACCGTCACAGTGGGGCTAGGGACCCACTGCAAGGATAAAGAATATTCGTCTTACAAAGGCCCATTCTCTCCCAGCATGAATATCATCAATAGGGATGAGTTCGGGTTCACACCCAACTCGTTCCAAACCTGAGCTCCTCGGAACACAGAAGGGCCATTGACCACCCGCCTAATCATCTGCAGGATGAGGTATTCCCTACCCCACAGCTGCACATAAACTGAGGGACATGATGCTTATGCCAACAGCTCAAAGCTGCACATAACCAAAGGGTAGGGATGCAGTGACATCGCTGGCCCTATATGGCCAAATTAGGTCAATGTTATTGGCCAAATATAGCCATGTTGCCATATAAGGTCAATTACATCACTGCATCTTTCCCTTTGCTTATGTGCAGCTGTGGGCGGGGAATTCCCCAGGCCACAGCTGATTGGGTGGTAGCAGAATGAGCTGACTTCCATGTTCCGAGGAGCTTAAGTTCGCCTTGGTTCAAGCTCATCCCTAATCAGCAAATATCTCAAATCAGACAGAAAAGTCTTACAACCCCATCATATGAACCCCAATGAGATAGAACTCACCAAATATAGATGACCAGTTAAATCAGTAAGCTGATAATAATGGTGGGCGAGAAAAGTACTTTGGAAATTGCATTGCACTTTTTTGCACACTTATTGCACTATGAAATTGATGTTCTAGCATATATACAGTATATACAGTATACACAGATTTTTGTATGATTTCACAATTTTGCTATTCTGTGCACGGAGTTATATAACATTTGCACATATGGGATTGGTTTTAACCAGGATCGATTTAGTTTATGTTTTATAACATATAGTTTTGTATAATTTTGTGATATTAATACAACTGCTAGTGATTTAGGTACCGTATTTGATTTCAGCACAGACTTTTATATATATACATCTTTCATCTGGATTTTGCTGAATAACATAATTTTTCTTTCCCAGTCTGATACGTGAAGCCCTCTGTCTGCTGTCCATGCTCTGATAGAGCAATTTGTGTTAGTTCAGTAGTCAGATACATAGCCCCAGGCCTGTTTTTCCACTGTAAGTGTCTTATTCAATGACCCCAAATAAGACTCTTCTGGGGAACATTGCCATAGCTAACCTCACCGCCATCACGACCCGTACAGTCAATGTGATGTGCCAAGCCTCTAATTAGAACTTTTATGCAATTACTGTCCAGGGACTGGAGCAGGACACAGGAGGGTGTAAGGGCTCTGTACTTTGGCTTTGCTCAGTGCTTAAAAATGTGGAGATGCAGATAATTGATTCAAGAGGGACACCAAATAAAAAAGTTCATGCTTCAAGAGCTGCCAAGCAAGCATGTGATCAAATTAAATAGACCCTTCTTTCACGAATTCTGCTGTGAAAACTAAGCAAACACAATCACTTTCAAAATGAGCGTGCTCACTTTTAACAATAAAGTTTGAGGCATAAAGTGTACCTGTCACCTTTGCATGGCAGTAGAGGCCATTTAGTGGCTTGAGCCAGCATTCCGCCTATGGGTTGGTGGTATATGAGATTAAACCATCGGGCAAAACACAAGATTGAGTTATAAGCAATGCAATAGTGACTTAGCCAGTGTGATTTTGCTTTTTCATCTGTCTGCTCCTCAAAACTAGAGCTCTATAGGAGGAAACAGAGCTAGTATTCAACAAAGTTCCTTCGCTTCTCTGTGTTTGTGAGCAGGGCACTGGGCATTACATATTAAGCACTTCAAGCCAATAGCACTTCAGCCCCATCCAGCCACTGACAAACTGTAAAGAGCCAGGCTTAACCAGTTCATGACCAAAGACCACAGATATCATTTGCAGTGTATTTCCAGAATGCACCAGTGTAAATATCTGCGTTCTGAATGTGTGCACATGTTTCTGCTTGTGCCATTATGGGAATGTCCTAAGACAAAGACCACATAAGTGTGAATGGCCATGCAGTTTGTGTACTTGCTGTGATCGTGGGAACGGTCACAGCTAAGATGTTTGGAGTCAACTTGGATCTGGTAGTGTCATCTGACAAGCCAAACCATGAAAATCTACCTTCTTCTGTTCCTAAGACTGCGTTCACACATAGTGTTTGCGTTTCCCACACGGTTCTCCGCGCAGAAGACCGTGCGTGACGAAAACGCTAACGTTTTTGATCCGTGCAGATGCCGCTTGTTTGCGGCTATTAAATAGCAGCGAACGTGCGGAGTCCGCCGGATTTTCGCGCTTGCACTATTTTGGGGGCAGCGCGGTTCCCGCAATGGTGTGAACGATGCACATTGAAGTGCATTGTTTTTTGAGTTTGGAGCGGCTCGGCGCGTATCCATACAGCTGAATACGCGTGGTGAGCCGCTGAGGTGTGAATGGAGCCTGAAGGTGCCCATACACCTGCCGATTATCGTACGATAATCGAGGGTGATCCCGCGATTGTACGATAATCGGGAGCTGTATGGAAGGCGCGCGACCGTTTCTACTGTACGGTCGCACGTCTTTTGTCTTCCGAGCACGCTTGAAAACCTGCCGAAAATCGTACGATTTTCAGCGGGTTAGTGGCGTGCTCGGAAGACCAATGCCAAACAGGCCAGGCTAGCGCACACTGCCCGCTCAGCATAGGAATAATTGGAAGCCCTCCCCTCAGCAGGGAGGGCTTGCGATGATCGCAAGCACTATACTCTGTGGAATGGAAGTGACAAGCTGTAAATACCTGTACATAGAATAAATAAAAGAGTCATATATCTGAGCTAAATACATTTATACATGTAAATACATGACAGCAAAAACCCAAGTAGGTAAGGTAAGACATATTACAAAGAACAAAGCTATGCTTCTATCTACTCTTTAGTTTCTGTAGATAACAATGGCCGACCGAACATTTTTTTAAGTTGATCTAAGCTAAGTACAGTAAGTATTACTAACGTCTAGCTATCTGCATTACACTGCAATATCTTCTAAAAGTCTTTCAACACTTGGCATCCGAAAAATCTTAATTTAACTCCTCAAACTGTATCATCTTTCGAACACATCTCTCTACATGCAGTAGGCACTTAGTCTTCATGGGTCATCATTGTTCTCAGATAGTTGTTTGTCAGTGCCAATTTGCTGAATGATCTCTCCAATGAACAACGAGTGACCATCATGCCCAAATATATTCTAAGAGCTACATTAACACTGGGAAAGGTATCAGTGAATACTGTATTATGGAGAAAAACCACCGCCTGTTGAGATGGAATGAGACATGACCTGAGGTTGGCATAGGCTGCAAACTGAAATTCATGGGGTGGGGGCAGTGATAACGTTTATCAGCTTCTGTTCTTATCTGTGCATCAAGTAGACATCATATGTTTACTATGACTCTGAATGTGTCATACAATGATTGTTATGCTACACTGAATTCTTGTAAGGAGACAGCCAACTAATCTAAGATTACATTGCAAATAGTTTTTGCCATATTTTTGTATTGGGGAGGGGGAGGGATGCAAGGGGTAAATTGCCCCTTTAGCTCCCTTATAGTTTCCACTTACACAGTTTCCACTTATTTTACGTGCCGTGTGGATTTTTGTACTCAGGCTGCATTTAACCCGCCTTGCTCTTCTTTGGAGGTAGCAGGTCCTACTGAGATCTGTTCACATTGCGGGGAACGCAGGTCCACACAGCCTTTGCTGCCTTCATCAACTAAGCCTGTCTAAAGGAACACAATTGGGAGACATAAACAAAAGTGTCATTGTCCCATAATGAGATGTTCCTGAACAGTGACCTTTATGGAAGTATTATTTTATGAAACTGCGGGATTCAAATAACAGAAAAATCACTTTTGAAGTTTGACATGTTGGGGCTTATGTGAGATTTTAGAGATTGGGTTTACATCTACTGAACTGTAACCAGGGGCGTCCCGAGGCTGGGTGACACCCGGAGCGGTAACCGAGTGTCACCCCCCCGAGACGTCACTGTCAACACGCGCTTGCGGATGACGTCATCGCGCACGTG